CAACACGCCTTACTCCGTATCGTGCCGAATATTCACATTTAAAACGAATGAAAATAATATTTCTTTGCTTCTTTATTATTTTTATTCGCGATGATTTTTTTCTGAAGATATTTTCTTAATAATAATGTGCAACAATATTTATACAAATGTTACTCTAAATAAACTTTCAAGAAAATAATAGAAATATTAAATTAATTATTTTAAAACGTACTAGAAATATCTTATAATTATTATTTAGAATATATTTCTATTACTCGTTTTATGATATCAAAATAAACGTTATCGCATACCTTAAATGAGAAAGAATTGTAAAAATTCTTTGCGCGCCCGCGAGCTGTACGCAAGCATATGTAAAATACAAAGTTGCCTCATTATCGCACTCTACAAATGTCAACATCGTCAGTCTCCATAATCGTACCTCGAATACCGTCGCGTAATTAAGACATTTGTATCGTGGTTCCGTGTATAGCAACTTCTTTCCCTCGGCAATTTAAACTCACTCCCCGTGAACCAGGTCGCGACAGTTAAAACGAGATACGATCAAGACGGCACCGATCTCCCTCCAATTGGAACGGCGACCAATCCGTTGCCGAGGGGCCTAATTAATTCCGCCTCTTACCGGAGTCACGGTGGGTCCTTATCGGTGGGCCCGATTAATACGAAACGCGGTCCTTATCGTAAAGAATTAGCTTGTTTGGCGAGAATCGAATGGCCGGATCGTCGTGTGTGCTCGCACATATGCATGTGGCTTATCTCACGTGCGCGTGCTGAGGCACGCCGTGAAAAAGTTCGGATCATGTTCGCCAGGAATTTCATGTTATCGTCGAAGATGAGCTACGTGCGTCGATTACTCGGTAGTACTTAAGATTTTCCCGTGCATCCTCGGCGCCCCTTTCTTTTCCCTGGCGCCTTTCACGCGAAATTACAAGACGCCGATTCCATCGCGAGATCTCCGCGATTGGATTACGCGCGGAGGCATTATCGCGAAGGAACGACGAGGAGGATCCGGGAGAAAAAAATCTGAAGGAAATCGAAGGGAGAATTATGACGGCGCGCAAGGTTGGTCGGAGTTTTAATGATTGCAAGACATAAAATGTAATTGCAAAGTGGCCCGCAGAGTAGAATCGAGGCAGTAAAGTGGTCTCGTCCGTGGTTTAGCGGGATCTTCGAATACTAAATACTGCGCGATTCGAAATCCGGTTTATAATGTACTCATGAGCGCATTAGGACGCTCTCTCGCGCGCGCTACTTCGCGCCTACATAAAGTCCATAGAATAACGCAATTAGCCGTCTGAATCGAACGCCTGATCATCGTTATTCGCGCCATGGTCCTCTCGGAATCTCGCGCGGTCCCTTTTACACGTTTAACGCCTTTTACGCCTCGATCATCTTTTTTGCATGCCGCCGTTAACGCCACGACCTTCTTCCATTAGGAACGATTACATCGTTACGCCGATATCCATGCCTCCCAGCATGATATTACAAAGTCGGAATACAGAACGTTTCCGTCGACGTTCGCGCTGCCGCAAAGAGGATTATATCCATAAAAGTCACAGCGCTATTTTTAACGCTGTTATATGACATTGGTCAATCATTAATATTTGCGGTATATCTAAGCTATTAATTATCTTTTTCAGACCATCATTCATACGAATTATTATGCAGAAAGTCTCGGATTTCTCTTCAATAAATTCACAGATTTATTACCGACATCTTCACTGTGAAATATTAAAAAAAAAAGTTTGCGAAATTTTTACATCGTTGTCGCACGAGCAATTTTGCCTTGATCCAATCCCCTCTTTCGACAAACATAGTCCTAGCGGGCATAGTCGATCGACGAGCCTCGTGATCGTAAATTCGGCACTTCTAACGAGCAACCTTGATCTTTGACGCGTCAAAAAGACAAATCATGACCGCCGTAATTTTAGAGAGTCAAAGCCGCGTGCAGCCGTAAAATACGACCGGGGGATCGGCGATCTTACCGGGAATCGATTTGAATTAAACACCCGGCTTCACTGTATCTTAGAGGCAGCTGGTCCGCGAGGGCCCAATTAGGTCTTATAAGCGGTATAGTGTAGTCAAGATTTTCAGACACAGGAACGTCGTCCCACCGCGGAGAAATAGACTAGACTCGAAGGAAGCCGAACACGGAAACAAGAGCGGCCCTTAGTTCCGATCTACTCACCGATTTCACACGTTATTTATCTGCATCTCTCCCGCGGTACATCCGCGTTGCATCTACCAAGCGTATATGGTATATCACCGTAGAAGTTAAACTGCGGCGAGCTCCAAACACATTCCTCCATTTGTTAAAAGATTTAGTACACGGAAATCGGCGGAATTTTATCAGCCGGTAAAGGACATTGAAAGAAACGAATTACGCTATAAATCGAGATTGAGAATTACACAAATTAACGGATGGCGGATAATTAATGAATGTCGTGACATGATGGACAAAAGAAAAATTTGAAAAAAATCTCAATGGACTCTTTATGTTTTTAAAGAAGCGATAAAGTCTAACGTGCAATAACAATTATTACGATGTTACGAAAGCGCATTCAGAGAATTGGAGATACATCGATCGCCATATTAATTATAGCTAACTCGACTGGTGCGGCAAATCAATTGAGAAACATATGATACCATTGCGAAACACGGTGGACTTTGATTCAATATCTAAGTAACCGCAATGGAAGTCGCTTTATATCGACCATCAGCAACATGCGGTTGAGAAAGCAAACATTCCAAGATGGCAACCTACTCTACATTGAATAAAGGCTCGGCACATTTCGAAAAGAGAATCCTCAATTGATTTGACTCACAGACCTTCACAGATCTTGAAGAAGTAAGAATTTTAGAACGTGAAATTCTACTTAATCGATATATTATTTGTCCTTTAATTGTTTATATTTTTCCATAAATAACTGTTTGTCCTTAAAAAAAGAAAAAATAAAAGTTGAAAAAATTTTATCATAAATACTTCTATTTATGATAAGTAAAGTATGTTTCTTTAAATTATATATAAAATTCAATTGTCTACAATTTGTCGACATTTGTCTCCCTTTCTCTTTCTCTTACTCGCCGACACAAGAAATTCGAATCGTTTGGTGTGCGATAACAAATGTACAATGTATCTTAGCACAGCTACTAAATAAATCTGCGATAACAAATGTACAATGTATCTTAGCACAGCTACTAAATAAATCTGCGTTCTTTAAAATCGCCGACAGAAAAAAGAGAAATGAAGCAAAGTAGCGTGAAAACTGAAAAAATACACGCATCGCGGCGAACATTTAACGCGGGTGTGACATAAATCTACATGCAACCAATGCATCCATACTCATTTCCACTCTCTTCCTGCTTCTTTTATTACAAATGTATTTGAGTGTGCATACGCATATATCACACGCAATCCCGTAGGATATGGTGAACGCGGTCGGAACCGTTTTAGAAAGCCTTCGGCTTCTCAAAGAGCGTAAGCTCAATTTAGAAGCTAGTTTAGAAGAGCTAGCTGTGCGTGCACTCCAAACGAGAGATCTAACATTGAAGTATACGCGTATGTAATTTAGCGCGTATTGTACAATTGCACGTGCGCATATGGTCGCAATCGTAAATATTACTTACAGCCAACGGTATATCGAATAATCATGGGAAATGTAAAGAGGAAAAGATAGAAATATGAGATAAAATAGTAATTTCGCGCACCAAAACGTAATTCCCACTTTAATCGGAAAGAAATAAATGGTATGCAGGAGAACTGTATAATTTGTCATTATGTCATTGGAATGCACATAAAAGTCAAATTATAGACATAATAGATTTAACCATCATAAAATGAAATGTCTAATTTTATGAGAAAACACACTACCTCATAACTTTATCTTTTTTAGTGAATTTAATAGCCGAGATATCTATCATTATTCGAAAAAGTTTTTGCTATGCTTGTAGAATTGGATTTTCATATTATTGAAAGTTCGATCTTTAATGAAAATTGTAGAAAATATAATTTAAAAAATATTGTAATATATTTTAAGACAGTTATTTTGATATAATTATTATTTCGATATTTGCGAATAATCACGTGGTTATAATAAATTTTAAGATTTTCCAAAATTAAATTTATTTTTATCACTATTAAATTAAATCATTACTAGATTGTCATCATATCCGCGGATGTTATCTCGTGACTGTCGTCATGTCATGCATTTCTCGACGCAATTCGCGGCGCGAGAGTCTTCAAAGCGCCGTGGGAATGCCATGGGAGGAGACGTTCCGGTGGCGATCAAATTTATGAAACGCACCTAAAACCCCGAAAGATGTTTATCAAACTTCCCGTTTCTTCGCAATAAGACGAGAACAAGGAGCGTGTAAGTTCTCGACAGCCGTATGTATCTTGAAAGTACTCGACTCGGCAGAACTACGCCGGTGAAACGTCAGGGACGAGATTTAGAGGCCGCGACGGCAGACAATGCACGACACCTGTGGCACCTCGAGAGGAACGAAGAGAGAAAACGAGAAGATGAGAGGAAAATAGAACGAGAGAAAGAGGGACAAGACGAAATAAAGAGAAAAGGAAGCGGAGGTGGAGAAGTGGATTCATCTCGCCGTGTATGCCGTCGTAAAGAATAACGCGGTTCACCTAAGTACATTACACTATAAGGAACGAAAAGTGGTGTCAGTAGCATAATGGAATATATTGTTGCCAGAATAAAACATAATCTCAAAACAATTTTTCATATCATTAATATAGAAAAAGAAGATTATTAGTTAAGAAATTCTCTTTTAAATTTTTGAGCTCAATTTTTACGTCATTAAACATCCTAATCTACATGTGTAATGTTTTCGAAACATTATCACGACGAAACGGAGTTAGTTATAATTGAAAATTATAATGAATCCATGAGTTACTTTGACACTTCGATGGTCATAAGACGTGAAACTCACTTGAACTATCAATTTTTCTAATTGACCTCTCGAAATTTTTTTTATTTTCGGGATTCTACGGGGTTGAAAGAATTTTCAGTAGTTCGGGACCCCCGCTGACGGCGCACGCGGCGAAGCAAGCGAAAGCGAAGAGGAACGGAAAAGAGGCGAGAGCAGTCGAGGCTTTTTTATCGGGATATTAATTGAACAACCAATTATATCTTACGCGGCGAAGCATAAATTCATAACCTTTAAGCTCGCAGTTAAAACGAACCAATTATCGAAGCGGGGGCCGCTGCGTGCCTTTTCTGGCCGCAACCGAAAAGCCGTAGCCGAGAGAATATCGGTTCGAATATTCTTCCGAGGGTTGAAACTGCTCACAAGAACCCGATGGAACTGAGCAATACGATTCCATCGTCGTTAACCATCGACATCGCCCACTCGCCGCCGCGAGAATGTTCCTTAGTCGGCAAATTCATTTCGTTTCTTCGACATGGACGAGATACTCGCTCATTTAGGTACCTACTACCGAGGCTTAACGGACGTTGAAAAGAAAAGGTCATCGGGAATATCATTTTCAGAGAAAAACGAGATTAAAAACATTTTGAGCTCGATACGAATTGAATCCTTCGATATGGTAAAAGTCATTATTATCACGCTATATTCACTGTAAATTTTTCATTTATTATTTACAATATTTCATATTATTTGAAAGAAACTTTTAATTTATATTACGCAATGTAATGTACTTCCTTATGCCACAACGTTTGTAACGTGTTTCAAAATTACAATTTTAATAAGCACATTCATATAAATTACTACATGTTCGGTGAAGTATTGGCGGTAATATATTGTATATGAACACAGTAGTATAATATACAATTTTATGTATTATAAATTATCTTGCAATATAGCATCGCGTGTTTCACAGTTATTAGCACAATATTGGACACTGGTGTGATAATTTTAAGACGGCACATTATCGCGCACGCAGTATTGTAACAGAGATATATTATCGGCATGGAGTATTGCGTGTCCCGTGAATATTAACTGCTAACTGTTATCATAGATATTCGAAACGCTAAAATGCAAATCGTGCGGAACATAGTTGTAACGCGCTCACTCGCGGAATTAGACATTATACGATTTCGCACTTAATTCATATTATTGCTGACGATTACTCGACGAGAACGAGCTGCAGCTGCTGCCGTTGTGGAATCTGGGCTCCGTGATTCTTTGGCCGATCGCGGTGGTCTTGGAGGACGCGAGTACATAAGTGGAGTGCGGAGTCCTTTTAATCCTACCTAGAGCAATCCCGGCCTTAAGAATCTCGATGACCAAGTACCGCGCGCGCACATCCGTGAGCCTCGTATGCCTCAGCACGTACTTGACGATGTCCTCCAGACGGGCACCTTCCACGAGACGATCCATTCGTCTTCGCGACGACATCGCGACAACCTATGCGGTACACGATTGTTCCATATTTTCACATAACACTCCTACTTAAATAATAAATTTATTTACTAAGTCTCTTTCTCTCCCGATACATTTCGCAAAACTCGTCGACTAGCTCCTATAAATAAATCATAAGCGATTGGAAAAATGCATATTTCTCGATTATGCGAAAACACATTCGTTATCGCGTATTATACGTCAAATCGAAAGCAACGTTCGCAGTCGTTTTGATCAAAATACGATCTATTGGCAGGAACGAATCGCGGTAGTACACCGAGCAATTGGATTATACACTTCAGTCAACGGAATGCATGCAATGGGAAGAAATTACGAGCGCAAGAGGAAGCGATGAGAGAACGGGTGCGAGAAAGGAGATACAGGCGGTATCGCTTTTATGAGTCGTATATTAATCCCATAATTGAGATATGGTTCCCGTCGTGCAGCCAAACACGCAACATTTTCCCCGTGCAAGAAGTCAATCATTATCTACGATGGACTTCGTAACAACGCGATGAAAAAGCCGTTGTCGAAATGCCGAAATAATTCTAGGAAAGAGGAAAGAATAACGAAAAATAAACATCAGACGCAGATCTCCAAGAAGAAATATTGTATCACATTTTTAAAAAAAATTGTAATTAAAAAATTATTTTCTATCTGATAGAATTCAAATAGACAATTGACAGTACTTTTAATATATTTCGAAGCCGTATAAAAGCTGTTTTATCTAATAAACTTTAAAACATTTTTCGAAAGATTATATTTGACGAATAATTCACGTTAAAGTTATGTTAATCTAATAATATCCAAATAAGATCGAAACGATTTAATCCGCGATATGACATCTTAAGCATGAAATGTCTGGCCAGACTAACTAATACTAAGCTCCTTTCTTCGATTATCACGCCTACTAACATCACGATATGGTTGACAAGGGAGACAGGGCTAATACAGATACAAAAGCGGCTCAAAAGCAGTAAGTCTGGTCGCATGGGAAATAGGCGCATGGGAAATAGTCTTGGATGAGGAATTGAACGTCGATTCAATGGCCGAGCAACATCTCCGGATGTATACCGGTTGATGCGCGAGGAAGAGTTTTTCATCGCTGTAGAAGCAGGTGATTCCGCGGCCTAATGGAAGGGCTTCGGTGTGCTTCGGTAACGTATAATTATCGGATAGAACGAGCTCGAGAATGTGGCAGTTTGAACGAGAATAGAGACATTATTCCACTAGCGTCTCGTCTTTTCTTTTCTCTTCCTGCCTCTTCGAAGTGTGGCTAGAAAGCGGAGGAGACACGGAATGGCTCGAAGCACTTTAGCAGCACTACATGCTTGAAACTTGAATCAGACCTCGCATCTTCCCGAACACGAGACGAGCGTACACGTCGATGCATCGGTGACGTCCACTTGGAAACTGGTAAGTGTCTCCAACGTGATTGAGAAACAACGCTGGATGAAAATGAATCGTGCGAAGAAGAGAAACGCGATTAATTGCCAACCTCACGATAAAATCGTTATTAATTAGAATACGTGTCTGTTGGAGTCTTCATCGCGCCGATTAAATGGTAATGGTATCGGAATATTAATTAATCATAAATGATTGGAATAAGGCCTGGAGGGTGAACGTGCTCGTTTTATACAGTTGCATAAAAATTTCTGCAGGCTTGTGTAATTGATTCATAGACTTGGAATTCCTTTTTAGCCGTACCTCTCTACTTCTCACAATCGTCGTCATTCAAGGAGCGCTCTGAAAGAGATTCTTTCCGGTCTATTCTTGGCAAACTACATGTCCACGATCATCTTCTCTCCGCGAGACATTCAAGGACGTTCTTCGCAAACTGCGGTGACTGCTACAATTCGTCCGGTTTTCACGTCTTTTTTTCTTCTATACCTCGTTAATATCAATCAATCTAATGTCTGCTAGTAGCAGCAAATCGTAATAAAAATTTTTTATATTACTATATATAGGATAGAGCGAGAAAGAGAAATACGATCACGAGATGAGAAAATCAACGAGAATTTTGCACTACAAAAATATCACTATCCTTTTTATATAACATTTAAATTTGCATTGATAATTATTAAGTATAGATCGGTGTATCTTTCGTTATGAAATCGATCGTTTAAGGATTCTCAATAAAATTATTATACGCTATTATATGCAAAAGTGAGACTTTGCATGACACCATTAATGTTGGTCAACGTTACAATACGATTAAAAGCAATTGGCGATTTGCGGAGGCGCGAGCACATCGAGATAGGGCCGGAGATAAGATCGTCGATCGTGGGCGAGTGCAGTCACTCGATGAAAGACGAAGAAAAGGCGCCAGACGCGCATCTCTTTTCTTTTATGCGCCCTTTTTTCGGCTTTGTATCAAGCGAGAAACGCGCCGTGTCTCTTTTCTCGAGAGGAGAGGAAGAACTCGTCGTATCGATCGTGCATTTTATTGGCGGGCGGGCCTTGTACTTTGGAAGCGGCATAATTTTCTTCATCCTACATCGGGCACCGTCGCATACACGCGTACGTTTTTTTTATACGCAGAAAAGAACGCGACGTGTACGACCAAAGTTAACCATGCAATCTGACTTTACTTTGTACAAACATCCCATCGGTTTCTCCCTTGCGAATCACGTTATGACATTCCCTACACATTGCGTTCCATTTCTTTAATAATCCCGCATACGCCTTAGAGCTGTACCCTGGCATCATCAAGTGTGCAACGAACTTAAAGAGGCCTTAAATACTTGCGCCTTTGATGTTCTTTTTCTCCACGGGCTGCCTATTCCACAGGAATCTCTCCATCTTCGAGACTCGTCGCGACGAAAACGAGTCCAATTAACTCGTCACCGCTGCTAATTGCCGCAATGCGGAGGAAGTCTGTATTATGGATAACTAGATTATCATGATTACGATGCGCCTCCATTATTCATCTTCATATGCATGTCCGCAATTTCACAAATAAATATTATTTATTAAAATTAAATTCAAATTTTCCTTATTGTTAATAAACATCTTCAATAAATATTTAACGGATATTTAATGGATATTATAGAAATCGGAAGACAGTACAACGTTTCCCTAAGCTGAGTACTAAATAACATTGCGAAAATAAAGAAGTAAGAACGGATGCTAAGAAATAGTTACTTCTGGAAAATCACAAGGCATATAGCAATTCACTCAAAGCCGCAACATGAATGAAAGAGCACTAGCCATATATCGTCTTAACGTTTGGCCGTACGTGCGAAATAATCCTTGGCGTAGAAGGGTCGGGTCTCTTGATCCCTCCCGAGTACATGATAGTCGCGCGGTCAACCATATAGTCATGGGCTATTACCGTAACCACCACCGGTTCTTTGTGGCAAGATCGTCAAGAGAAACGTTCAAGCTCGAGATAGAGTCATTACACTCGATAGATAAGTTTCCACCTGTCCAAGTAAATGTCGTGTGAGCTATTTCAAATATATGTGTCATTGTCTCACGCGTTATATAAAAATCAGATTAAAGAACAAAAATAATAAAAAAAAAATTTTCTTGGATAAAATGAAAAAAACATGATAATTAAACACATATTTCCAAACAAAAAAAATAGAAAAACTTAAAAGATAAAGAATTAGTTGATTTCGGTTATATTTAATAAAAATAGCAACATAATAGAACAATAGAAAAGACAATTCTATTTTATCAAATAAAATTATCAAACTTTTATTGAAGTTTCTTTAACTTTTATTTTTAATATTTGTAAGATTTATAAGAAACATATATACGATCAACATAAATTATATATTTTGTATCCTCAAGAGAAATTTTTCGCTCCTTCAATAGGCATGGAAAAAAAGTGGCATTTATGCTCTTGACAATTTACGAGATTCGAAGGCTCTTATCGCATTGCACAGCATAATTTTGCTGTCGTGTTAAGTTTTAAGACTCGTAATTACAACCATAAAATACGCGCGAAAGTCATGGGATTTGAGTCTGGCAATAGGTCCAGACAGTTTTGTGCGAGACAGCAGATAACCGTTACATTGTATTCAGCTAATAAATGTCATCTCTCATGCAGGTGCACAGCTAAAATAACATCGTTTCAACATTCTCGAATTCTTAAACCTCTGAGACATTGAGCTTTACGATCAAAAAGATAGCAGTGACTTCTCACTCCGCGTCCCTTCATTCTACATTTTTTCCGCTGTGTTGCAACCCAACTAACTCGCATTAACAGTTTTAGAACAAATTTATCGATTTTCTCAATTCTGCATATCTTTATACGTCAGATGATAATCTGCTATAAATAGATCGTTACTGTGTTATCTTCGACTCGGTGTTTGATAATTACCGTGCAAATTACAGCGTGATACTTTATAATCATATCTTCTTCTCGCATCATGATGCATCAATTTCTACATCGCTAATCATATTCCATAATCAAACACATGAGGTTTATAATAATCCTATATAACAGTATTCATAATAAGTATTTTCGAAGCGGTTGTAATTTGCTGCAATAATTACCATAGTTAAAGTCAGAATAAAATAATAATATATTTAATAATATTTGTAGTTAATTATTAAAAAGAATATATTTAATTTGTACTATATCAAATGTATAAAAGTTTTAAAGTATAAAAGTTTTTTCTTTTGAAATAAAATCTGTGAATACAAAAACATATTGAAATTAGGAAATTTATTTGTTTGACTCATGATTCAATTATTTGCATTAGTTAGTATGAATAATAGTCTTACTATAATCATCCTGTATTCGTTATGCTAATAATCGGCATCATTATGCGGCGATGATTGTTTGTGAAGTAATTTTTACAATATTCATATTGCTCCTCGTGTATTCATATAGTTAATACATTGTAGCTATAATTATATTGCAAATTCCTGTAGTTGACGAGATTGCCTTTATACACGGCGAGCCAGGCAACCTGATGCAAGATAGTGTAATGATCTCACGTTAATGTAACAAGTCACGAGCCGTCTCGTCGCAACGAAAAGGTCACACTACGGCGACAGGCGAGAGTAATTGGAATAGAGTCATTATGAGAGACGCTCGTAGTCACCGCAGGCGAGGCACTCGTTTCAAGCTTATAGCGACACGTATGAAAAACAATAAGATGCTGATGAGCGGAAAACTGTCTGCATCTTTTTCAAAGTAATTTTAGCCTTTTTATCATGACAAAACCGATATGCCATGAATTAAAATAAAA